AATTTGCTAGGAGCCAAATGGCAAGGCCTCCTGGGGAACCGGAGGGGGGGGGAACCGCACACTTCAAGGCCTGCATTCAAGGCGCAGGAGGGCGGAGGCTGTTCTTTAGCAGTACGTAACAGCAGCAGTCAAGACTGCCTCTCAGAAGCAAGGGGACTGTTAAAAATACCCTTTTCATTGCACTTTTGCTGTCAGAACTACCTCCTCCTTCCTTGTCAGCCTTCCAGCGCAATCCCACTTAGAGGGAACTTCCAGAGGGTTCTGTATAGGATTGACGGAGAGGAGGAGCTGGCCCAAGAGATGCAAAGTGGAGAGAAAGGAGGCATGTGGCGGCTGCGGGAGCAGCTGAATGGATTTTTACTGGGCAACTGGGTAGGCCGAAAACCGGGAATTCACGCGGCCAGTGAGCAGAGTGTAGGGACACCTTGGAAACGGTCACCAGAAGCCAGAACTGATTGGACAGCAGATGATGATGATGATGATGATGATGATGATGATGATGATGATGATGATGATGATGATGATTGCGTACAAAAGTGTGGCCTTTGGGACTGTCTGGAACACTTCTCCTAGGTGCTCAATGCACCCCACTAGAGAGCAAGGGTGAGCTACCTTCAGAGGCCTTCAGACTAAAACTCCCCTCGGCTGGCTTCACCCGTGAGGAGGGACAATGAGAGCTGCTGTCCAGCATCCTCTGGGGTGTCGCCTGCTGCCGTCCCCTGACACAAGAGGGCTTTTCCTAGTTTCACATCTGACATGTTAGTATCACTCCCTTCTTTGACGGAGGGGCCAGGGCTGAGTTTGTCATAAGGGAGGTAGAAAGTCGACAGGGAGAGGTTAGGGTTTCAAGACACGGGCAAAGGGCAGCGAGCAGACTCAACTCATTCACCCTTCTCCAACTTGCGCCTCAACTGTGGTTTACAGCCATTAGCTCTAAAAGCTGTCAAGGAGGGCGGCTCATCTGCCGTTAACAATAACCACTGCACTCAGCTTGCATCCATTGACGTTGATGAGATGTGCAGAACGGTGTTTTTTTGGGCTACAACCCCTGGAGCTCTCCAGGCAGCGTAGCAATTCTGGGAGTTGTAGCCCAAACATCCCAGATTTGAATACCTCTGCAGACATTACGAAGACGTCTGATGCAGTTCATCTGTGACATGGAAGTATTTCTCCTCTCCCGTACATTTGCGATTGTTTCTCCTTCTCTTCTTCTCTCCTGGCCATGTTCCTTAGTTTCCCATTAATACTCTAAAAGAATAACCTTTTGACTTCTACTTTCCACTCTTTTTCTTCCCCCCCCTCCAGTCCTTGCACTCTTTGAAAATCTCACTCTGGTGGCTTGCTCCAAGCGCATCCTCACATGAACAACCCCACTCTACCCCAAAGGGGGCTAACCCAACAAAATTTGCTGCCTGAATCACAGCTGCAAACTCTGCTCCCCTATGTTTTAAGTCAGTGCCCAAAGCCAGAAAAGTTATTTTTTGTACATGAAAAGCAGAAAATCCCACAAATGCCTCTGCTCCTCCCAATGGTAAACACACAATAATAATAGCAATAAAAACCTTAGAACTGCAGACCTGGAAAGGATCCTATGAATCAGAAAGTCCAGCCTGTCAAAAAGGCACAGTGGAAAATCGGACTCCCAACGTCTATCTTTGCAACCAGAGACCGAAACCACTGAGCTATCCAGCAGTTCTAACACATTGGATTACTAATTTCACAACACCAAAGGTTTCCCCATCCTGTCTAATGGCAGAGCCGGGCCTGACCACAAAGCAACATGAATCCTTTCATACATATATCATGACGTGCCACAAAAAGGTCCAGATTTTGCACCCATATCCTCCCTCCTCTTCAGTCGCCTCCTTCTCTCAGGACTCAACCAGATGGCTCATTTAGCTGATCAGGTGCTTTTAAATGCTGACATCTCTCCAAGGCCCGTCCAACCTGCACAGTTTCCTACCTCCAGTAGACCACAGGGCTGAGACCCAGGTGTTTGACTGACTACAACACAAACTGGGCAGGTGGCTGACTACACCTGTGATGCCTCTGGAGTGGAGAAGAATCCTTTCTTTAAAAAAAAATCATCCCCCAGGAATACTTCTAAAGTTATCCATAATGCTGAGCCAGGAACTTAAAAAGCTCCCCGACTGAGCAAGTTCTTACTCAGAGAACAAGATGCCCCACTTGCACCAAATGTTTCATTTATTCAACTGGGCTTAATGTGGCATTTAGAAGTGGATCCTGAAGTGAACTCAGTGTTGCATTTCAGAAGGATAGATCACAGGCAGTCTTTATTGCTGGAATGGGTAAGAAAGGTTGGACAAGGGTCTAAGGGTAGACCCCTGTGCGATCAGCACATAAGCTAGTAAGGATTCCTGCCCAGGCCCTCTTAAGCATTGCAGACTAAAATGGAGTCTGCTGCTCAGATGGCAATACAGAATTATCAAGTCCTCGATATAATTTTAGCTCAGCAAGGAGGACTCTATATCTTAATTAATTATTCTTGTTACACAATTGTAAATAAATCTGGAACTATGGCTACTCATGTCAAAATACTGCAGCATGAACTCTGCACTGTAATGGACTTGATTTCTGGGCACAGGTACAGAATGTGAAAGGGTGACTGGGAGAAATCCTGAAGCCTCTCTTACCAGATTCATTATTTTCATAATAGGCTTTGTCTGTTTTTCCTGGTGTTGTCCATGGGTATCTTTATTGCATTGCACTTGCCAAAGAAAGTCTTCTCCTAAAACCTTCCCTCCAGAAATGACAGGTCTATGTAAGAATGATCTCGAACCATTTTGAGCAGATGGGTAAGAGTTTCACTGAAGAAAGAATTTTAAATGTTTATTTTTATAAAAAGAGGTGAATGAAGAGGAAGAGAGAGGAGGAGTAATAATCATGTGTCCATAACTGGGCATTAGAGTGGATGTGGAGGTCTGCATTCACTGGGTCAGGTCAAACAAAAGTGTTATGATAAAGCATTTCCTGATCACAAGGTCAAAACAGCCAATCGGAGAAAGCTGCACTGATCTTGTTGTAGTATTGCTTTTCAGCAGTTATTTTTATTTTATGCATCCCTGCCCAAGCTCAATTGTTTACTTTGCATTCCCAATCAGAACTATAAAAGAGTAATTATCTGGTTATTTGGGGAGACCCGCTTTGCACCTATATTGTGTGCTAGTGCCTCTCTGCTTTTGAAAGCAATAAAATTTTATTGTTTTATTACTGAGATTCCCTCTGTGTTCTGTTTTGTGAAACCCCCCCCCCCCGTCCAGTCAGAAAACATGAGCTGGGCTGAAAGGTCACCCTTCCCCAACACTATAATCAAGTGATTTCCCCAACCCTAAATAATACTGCTGAAACAGAAAAAGTCAGAAGGAGGACAAGGAGTAGATTACGGTTCTGAAAGAACTATCAGCTCCACTTGACATAAGAAGGCTCAAGACAGATTTCTGGACTCAGGATTCACTAATCCTATGTGCAGGAAAGCAAGAGAGAGCTGAGCAAGATTCCTCAAGGAGACAGGTTGGAAGTCTCATACACAGATCTTTACTCTTTCTCATGACCTGCAAAGCCAAGTTAATGGAAAAGAGTAAAACTGAAACATCCAGGAAAGTGATACGCTTAATTTTTGTGATGCATGCAGCCTAGAGAATTCAGCTTTTTCTTGGACATACTTGAAGCAGGGCACTGGCTTTTCTTGTTCAAGGCACACTCTGCGCTGGCCATTATTTGAGCAGCTATAAGACAAGGACCTGTGAAAAGGACTGGTCAAAATTGCATCCCATATCCCTGTAACCTTAAAATTGTATTGAGCCTCGTGGCACAGTGGTTAAAACGCTGTACTGCAGCTAAAACTGTGCTCACGACCTGGGGTTCAAATCCCAGGTAGCCGGCTCAAGGTTGACTCAGCCTTCCATCCTTCCGAGGTCGGTAATATGAGTACCCAGCTTGCTGGGGGGGCAATGTGTAGCCTGTATAATTAAATTGTAAACCGCCCAGAGAGTGCTTGTAGCGCTATGGGGTGGTATATAAGTCCAATAAATAAATAAATAAATAAATAAATAAAATCAGGATGGCTTTTCCACATGATGAGATGAGTCACCAGCCTCTACATGCAGCACGTCTTCTGAGGAGCTAGTACATCTACAAATATGATTGCACTTCCTTTTAAGGCCAAGGGGCAGTTGGGGGTGTGGGGGAACAGCAGCTAGTCCTCTTTCCTGGAGAACTTTTGAAGTAAAACAAGGCCATTTTAAAACAAAGTGCTCTATTGTCTTAGTTTGGGTACCTATATCACAATACAGAGTAGGGACGTGGTGATGCTGTGGGTTAAACCGCAGAAGCCTTTGTGCTGCAAGGTCAGAAGACCAGCAGTTGTAAGATCGAATCCACATAACGGAGTGAGCTCCCATCACTTGTCCCAGCTCCTGCCAACCTAGCAGTTCGAAAGCATGTAAAAGTGTGAGTAGATAAATAGGTATCACCACGATGAGAAAGTAATGGCATTCCATGTCTAGTCATCCTGGCCACGTGACCACGGAAGATTGTCTTCGGACAAATGCTGGCTCTATGGCTTGGAAACAGGGATGAGCACACACACCCCAGAGTCAGACATGACTGGACAAATTGTCAAGGGGAGCCTTTACCTTTACAGTATCTTTATCAGAATATAGAAACAAGGAATGAGAAAACAGCCCAGCTTTGTTAAGGCCAACTCAAAGCATTTTGCTCTCTGAGGCAAGGGATAAGAAGCTGTACAGAACCTGGCAGATCTTGTATGTGAATTTTGCTTGAGCAAGGGTGATGTGACATATTGTGTGTGCGCGTGTGCATGCGTGCGCGCCTCCGTCTGCTTAATGCTAAGGGCATTCCAGTTTTCTGATTGACACTTTTGAAGGAAGTGCCTTCACCTTGATTACAACACTGCTCATAAGAAAGGGGAATGAAAGGGTGGTATTGACAGCCCTCCCCAGCCTGCAGTCACCTCTCACCTGTCCTGCTCTTGCTGTTGGTCAGAATCTCTTGAAGGCGCTCCTGGAGTTTGTCTGCTCGCTTCCGTTCCAGGTGGAGCTGCCTTTTGAGGTCCTTCAACTGTTAAGGGGAGAAAGGTGGGAAGAGGAGGATCAGGACTGGAGGCAGAGCTCACCAAGGTTTAACAGCTCACGAGAATGCAGCAGCTATGCTATGTCACTAGAACAGATCTGAAGAAATAAAGGGCCTGGAGGGACCTTTTAAAATTGAAAGCATTTTTGGGATGCCTTCTGAGGCCCAGGGGTGGGCATGTGTGATCCCTGGGCCTCTGGAAGTTGCTGTCCCCCTGGTTAAGACGCACAATCTGAAATCAGAGCCAGTAGTCCACCTCCTATATGCAAATCACTGAAAGTCAAGCAAGCCTTGTTGATAAACTGTGTGCAAAGCCCCTCTCACCAAATATCCAGGGGAAAAAGGGGGCTACAGTTACAAGACCTTAATTCCAATAGTGTGCATGTGGGTGTGACAAATTTCTCTCACCCTCTGCTCCAAAGGCTGCGTTCTCTTAGAAACACAAAGTACTAATCTAACTCTGATGGAACTGAGATTCTATGAGTTGAAGCCACCTCCATAATTAAACCCTGATAGCTTTGATTCCTTTTGAAATTAAGAGGCAACAAGACCGTGGGGATCTGTGATCAGAAGCAGATTAAAGTCCCAGGGTAGCGCAGCCTCTGAGCACGGGGCCAAATGCTCAGTCTGGGAGGAGAGGCACAGAAGCAGCTGTCATAAAGCAGCTGTCATAAAGGGGATGGTGGCCATGATCACTAATGGTTCAGCCCCAGCAATGTGTCCCCCATCCTCTGCAATGGTTGCTCAAATGAGCCAGCAGGAGAGAGGAGACCGTCCAGGCCAGCAGGCAGGAAGCGAAGTAGGAGGCACAGCTCCACACGGAGCAAAATGAAGGAGTGTGTGTGTGTGTGTGCGTGTATGTCACTGCAGCAGCCAAGAGTTTACTGTACTTATAAACCCTCAGGCAAGGGGACCATCAGGGGAGCACCAAGGCTATGCCTGGGCCATTCACAACAGTCCTTTCTTGCAAGCAATGATTTCCGAGCACCGCCCGCCCCCCCCAATGAGAACTCCAAATGGTGCAATGCAGTCTAGGAGGACTGTGGCACAGGAGGACGCCTTCCTCCCAATGTTGCTTTTTCACTTGGGGGCAGGGGAGGAAAAGAGGGATTTGGGGGGTCTTGCCTCCAAGCATACCAGCAAGCCCCCCAGCTTCACACGTCCTTTAAGGGATGAGCAGAGAGAAAACGGCTCTCTATGGAGTTCATCCCAGAAGGAAATGTGTATTTCCTGGCCGGAGCAAAGAGGAACAGCAGCCCGATTTGAGGGCTGGATGAACAGCCTTTGTTGTTGTTTGTTGTTGTGCCCCCTAACCCGCCCCCCTCTGTTCCCAGGAGGAGCCCCCCAGCTCACCGCTGCGCTGCCTTTCTTTTCCAGGATCCGCTGCCCATCCACCGTGTCCTTCACCTCCTGCCGGGGAGACAAAGATGTCACAATTCCACCTCCCGTGACACCATCACTGAGGCCCAAAGGTGTCAGGATATGTTTCTAGCATGCATCAAGGGCAGTCACACACTTCTCTGCAGCTCCCAGTCTCACAATCGCTACCTTTGGGGAGGCGGAACTGTTCCAATTCAGCTGCTTTGCCACAACTGGATTCTCTTGCCCTCCTATTCCTGAGGTGGAGATGAAAAGGGATTTGTGTTCTTTTTAACGAAGAAAGCAAGTTTCTAGTCCTCATGGTGGCTGAGGCAGCAAAGTCTTGAGAACCCTCCTGCAAGTTCCCCATCTTTGCTGCCAGATTTCACTTCCGAATCTGTGGCTCTGTTTCGTTGCCACTCAGCATCTCAGCAATCCAGACTCCCTCCTTTTTCTCTTTCTCTACTTTTTCTCTACGTTGCCTGTAGCAGCAGAACATCCACTGCAGGAAAGGTAACATCCTCAGGTTTCCTGAATAAATGGGATGGGAGAGATTTGCAGAGGAACACTGGGAATGGAAGGCCAACGGGTAGCAAATTCTGGCCTCCTGGAGAGAATCACAGCAAGGGGAAGACCAGCCTCGTCCTCTTCATCCGTGAGAGAAAGAGCAACAACAGGCAGTTGGTTTCCCAACCTCTACTAGAAAGAACGCTTAGCCTCATTTTGTGTTTCTAAAACCTGCTACCTTGTATTTCTGCCCTTCCCTCTATGATCCCTTTTCTTAGGGATTGTCTCGCTACAGATGTTTGTTAAGCCCTTCTGGGAGGTTTTATGGCAAAAAGAGTGGGGCCAAAAAAAATTGCTAATGCTAATCCTTCCCACAATAGGCTCTTTCTTGAGTGGGATCTTAGGTACCGGCCACACTCAAACCCCCGCACCTGTCAACTTCCATCTAGTGCTTCGCACCAGGCATATCATCAGCCTGGGCTCTTGACTCACACGGAGGAAGGCGGCCAAAGTCCCCGTCTGGAGCTATGAAGTGGCGAGGCATGGTGCCACCTGCCTCTCCATGCCTGGCATTACAAGCGCTTGGAAGAAAGAGAGACATAATACACCAGATGGGCAATCCTGGCAGGAAGAAAGGGAACAGATGGCGCTAGGCACCTCATGCTGCCAAGCATCATCTCCCAGGAGAGGCTGGCAGGCAGCAGTACAGATACACCTGTTTCAGGCGGCTGATGGTGTCCATGTGTTCATCCCTGGCTCTTTCAATCTCCCGTAACTTCTCCTTGGTTGCTTCCACCTCTTGGTCCTTCAGCTGGAGGAGAGACAATCCGACAGTAAACCTGGGGTGGGGTGGGGAGTATAAGGGAAGAACCAGATATCTGGCCACCAAGATGGGATTGCTACTCCCGTGTTTACTGCTAGCAGGAATAATACTAGAGGCTGAGAGGGATCAGTGAGAAGTAGCAAGTGGGGCTTAGCTCTCTAAATCTTGGCCTGCACCCCTGCTGCCTCTCCCTTCCTTGGTCAGTAACTGCAAATGCTGGGCAAGGGGAGCGGTGAGGAAACAGGAAAACATAGCCGTGAAGTGATCAGTAAGGGAAGGGCTAAGCAAGCAAAACACACCCACATTGGAGCAATTCTCCAGGCGAGGGCTCCATCTACGACTTTGCACCCTGGCAGCAAACACAGGGACAGAATAGCCTCAGTCCCCTCATCAGCTCAGCCTACCTTCGCAAACCTTATGAGCTGATGGGCCGCGAAACACGGTTTAATCTAAAGGAGTGGGGAAACCTGTGGCCCTCCAGATATTGCTTAAGTTTCTGGGAGTTGAAGTCCAAAATATCTGGACAGCCAAAGTTCTCCCTCCCCAGGTAGTCGCGTAAGCCCATCTGGAGGGGAGTGGGCCCTTCAAGTGGCCCTGCTTGCATTTCCCCACCCTTGCAGCCGCCTCTTTGCTTCCGTCAAGCAACAGACGATCTTCCAGGCACTTCAGAACAGAAGTGCCAAAATGTTAAACACTGTTGTGTGTCTGAATCATACCTTGCTAGTCTCAGAAGGGCTTCAGGAGTTCCCTCCTTGCTTCAGAACCCAATTCGAAGTACTGAGGCCTACTTTTAAATAGCTTGGGATCATGCCTACTTGATCTTCCCTCACCATTTGCTCCTCATCAAGCATGAACCCAAGGCCCATTAGGGAGAGGACTTCTGGCGGTGTGGCATGTTATGAAATCTCTCTCCTCAAGGAGCACCCCCAATGCTGATGTTTTCACCTGCTAAGTTTTGCCTGCTTTTGTTCTTCCATTGTTGTAAACTGCCCTGAATTCGTGTTGATGGAGCATGGTAGAAAAATATTCTAAATGGATAAATAAACTCATTCAACTTGGGGAATCAGCTTCTAAGCGTGACCGTTTAGTTCTAAGGCACGGTTTTCCGCCCCAGCCCTGGCTTAGATGGGGAAAAGGCAGGGAACCTCTTCCAGCCTGACACCCCAGTTCAGTTTCAGAGAAAATTTGGAGGGCCACTTTCTGGAGGAAGGTAGGATTAAAATTGACAGCATTCCTGACTTTGCTACCAACAATTCAGTCTTTGGACGAAGCAGTTAAACCACACAGAATGGAGGGAAAACCCAGAAGACTGAGGGGGAACCCACAAAATTGATGGTAACATGAAGAAGGGGATGTGGACATCGAATGAAGCCCACATGAGGGCCTGGGGAGGGGGGCAGGGTTCAGCTCCAGGACCTGTGGTTCCCTACCAGAAAGCAGAAACACTCAGTTGATTCATCACCCCAAACACCAGAGCCAGCCAAATGGCTCCATGTGTTGAGCTCCATCCCAAATTCAACCCACACAGGCCAGAGGATGCCGCCACCAGGGAGCTGCGGTAGGCAAGGTGCCTCAGCGCTCTCCACGTTGGCTAGCCTCCCACATGAGAGGCCGGAGTTCAGAGGAGATTTCTGCTATTTCTCCCAGTTAGGGAGACTCATAATGGCCAAGCTATGTACCTTCAAGTCAGCTGCATGTTGCTCCTTGCAAAGCTGCAGGGCTTCAGCATGTTCTTCCTGGTGCTTCTCTATCAGCTCCTGAGGAAGAGGGAGAAACAATCTAGTCTCCAGAACAAGACAGGAAGAGTTCCCTGCGTACGACATTTGAGTCCTAAACAGCCTTTCTAGAGACAGACCAGGGACGACCTGGCCCTCCAGATGCTTTGAACTACAATTCCCATTATCCTTCGTGGCTGGCTCTGTTGGTTGGGGTTTGTGGGAGTTGGAAAACCAGAACATCTGGAGGACCAAACTTTCCTCACTCCTGGTTTGGAAAATGTCCCTTCTGGTCTGAGTCCAGGGATTCAGTATGGTGGGGAACATAATCCAAGACGTGGGCAGGGGAAGACATCTTAGTACCATACGTTTCTCGCTCAGACTGTCACCTCAGCTTCTTTAAGCCGCCGCTCAAACCAGCCCTTTGTGCCATCCATGGACTGTATCTGCAGTCGCAACTCTTCCACAGTCTGTTGCATAGACTCCAGTTCCTGACTTCGAGCCTAAAGTGCAAGATAAAAAAAGAGGTATTGGTTATTTGGCACTTGTTAGGCCTCATTTTGAGTTCCTTGTCCAGTTCCAGACATTGCACTTCAAGAAAGATGCTGACAAACTGGAACAAGTTCAGAGGAGGGCAACAAGGATGATCAGGAGGCTGGAAACCATACCCTATGAGGAAAGGTTGAAAGAACTGGGCATGTTTAGCCTTGAGAAGACAGAGGGGAGATCTGATAGCACTTTTCAAATACTTGAAAGGCTGTCATACAGAGGAGGGGCAGAATCTGTTCTAAAACATCTCAGAGTGCAGGACACACAACAATGGTCTCAAGTTACAGGAAGCCACACTTTGGTTGAATATCAAGAAAAACTTCCTAACTGTTAAAGCAGTATGGCAATGGAACCAATTACCTCAAGAGGTGGGGAGTGCTCCAACACTGGAGGCATTCAAGAGAAATCTGGACAACTACCTAGCAGATATCCTTCCATCTGTATTTCTGCATTGAGCAGGGGACTGGACTCAATGGCCTTATAGGCCCCTTCCAACTTCATTATTCTATAATTCTATGAAACAACACAGGCATTTAAACAGCTTAGAGGCAGACATAACACAGCTCACTGTTCTTTCTGTTTAATTGATGCTGAGTACAGAATCTACACCATCAAATTATCAGCTTTCACGAAAAGAAGAGAAAAAGGAAATATCTAGCCCTCAGGAGTGGAACATGTTGAACTCCACAGGAAGAGCTGGCCTCTGCTCCTAGTTCTTTGAATTAATATACCTTCTCCTCCTTTAACTGGTTACGCAGCTCATCCTCCTGCCGTTTCTTGTGTTCGTGCAGCTCCCGCAGCTCCCGCTCATAGCGCGCCCGCACAGCCAGCACTTCTTTCTCATGCTGCAGACGGAGGTTACTAAGCTCTTCCTTATGGCGTCCCTTTTCTTGCTGGGTCTCAATGGCCATCTCATCTAACATGCCTTTGCGCTTCTCTGCTGTCTGGAAAGCAGATGCAGGCCCCAGGGCAACCGTCAAGAAAAATGGCAGTAGAGAGCCTAGTACAAAATTCCCTCTCTTTCCACAAAGAAAAACTAAGGAGATTCTGGCCACAATCTTATTGGTGTTCATGTAACTTGCCATGGCTAATGGCAGCTAATTGATGACATGCCAGGATGTGTCTTAGTTACAAGCCTCATCCTGCACCTGACTATGCAACTAAGCAGTGCTCTGGCACCTCATCAATTAGCCATAATTGGTCTTGACAAGTTGCACATATCTTCCACAAAACACCAACATGATTCTGGTCTCTAGTTCATGAAGAGCAGTCCAGAACAACTTTTGACTGAAAAATCACATTTCCTAGGTTTTATCCCCAAATTTTGTAAGACATATAAATATGTGTATATTACCTATGACTGATTACAAAGTAAATAATTTGGGTCTCATTGGTTCAGTTTTTTAATACAAAGAGAAAGAGAGAGAGAGAGAGAGAGAGAGAGAGAGAAGTTTCTAGACCCTGCGGTTGCAGAGAGAATTCTGTAAATAGATTATTATCAAAAACGTTTTTATTTAGGCAGGCTTTCCTGGACTCTACTATACCTTGATGCAACAGCTAATGTTCAATCTCTGCCATGTTTTCCTTATATTTATTTTAATGTCTTACTGATAGTATTTTCATTTGTCTATTTTGTTTTATTTTATACTACTGTCCTATTGTATTGTATTGTTTTTATGCTCTATTTTATTGTACTGTGTAAACTGCCCAAAGCGGCCTGGGTTGCCAGATGTAGCGTTATGGAAACTAACTAACTAACTAACTAACTAACTAACTAACTAACTAACTAACTAACTAACTAACTAACTAACTAACTAACTAACTAACTAACTAACTAACTAACTAACTAACTAACTAACTAAAACACCCATCTGGCAACCCAGGCCACTCTGGGCGGTTTACACAGTACAATAAAACAGAGTATAGTTAATTAATTAATTAAGTGAGTAAGTAAGTAAAATGAGCATTCTTTGGAGAAAGAAACTAGGTAAAACTCAACAGCACTTCCAAGTGTTGCTTTAGCACCTTGCAAAGTTTCATTTCTTCTTACCCTTACCATTCCTTGATGCATGTGGCCAGCCAATGCAGATTCTCCTGTTTCCTTTACTCCCCCTCCCAGCCCCATTTCTTCTGGCCTTTACATAATCCCCAGTTCTGAAAAGAATTGGTGGTAAAGCAGACTGCAGACTATATTCTAACATGGGGCCAAACTATTGTTCGGCATGAAGTCTATGACACAAGTTACAGTTCACAAGTTCTTCCTTCTCTTTCCCTACAGGCTTTGTTGGAATTGACTTCCTATCTGTTTTCTGAAGCAGGATCAAACTCTGGGGATTGTGGTTTAATGGTGAACTGTGATTTGACTGAAGCATAAGATATCATCCTCAGACAGCACAGCAGGCTGTGTTTTGCTGGCAGATCAGAAGATTGCTTTACAAACTCTAGCAGAAGAGAGGAGAAGTTCTGCTCAGCTCACACACAGCTACCAGACCAAGGGCCGGCGTTACTTCCGAATTATGAGTTTGTTCCATGGAAAATGAATTCCCCAATAAGATAAAATGTTTGTCCAACCTGTGCACCCGCCCTCACTTACCTTCCTAGCTTCCTCAAGTTCCTGTAATAACCTCTCCTTCTCCTGACCAAGTTCTTGGAGCTGCTCCACAAGACGAGTATTGGCCCGGAGTGACTCCTGACAGAAAAAGCAAAGGCAGTTTGCAATGGGTGCTCGCCTCTAAAACAAAACAGTCTTACAAACCCCTCCCTGCATACTTATTTAAGCACTTACAATTCTTACATCCAATCTTTCTTCCAAAGAGCAGAAGGTTCACCTCCTTCCTACTTTATCCTCTCAACAACCCTGGCCCAAGAGCGACCACAAATTTCATGGGCTCTTGCACTGATTTCATCCTGGATCTCTCAAGTCCCCGTCTAAGACTCTGACCCACTAGAACACTTTGGCTCTTAGTTGATCTATCTTAAATAGGTGTTACAAGGATTAAAGAGATCAATTACAAGGATTAAAGAGATTAATTACAATGTATTCACCATGCAAACCACTTGGAGCATTTGGCCTTTTCCTCAATATTACCAACATGCTAAGTAGTTTTAAACACCCTCTTGGGTTCACAGTCAATGAGAGATTAGTAACAATGAACCTTTCCAAGTGGGCAACTGTAGTATAAATTGCTTAACTCAAATCAGTAACATCACAACCTGACCACATTCACTATTAAAAACACCTTACTTCCAAATGTCTGGGACTACAGTTCCCATAATTCTCAGCCATTGTTCATGTTGGCTGGAGTTGACAGGATATAAAGTGTGAAACATATGGAGGGGATCTAGGATTGAGACAGCAGCAATGACCCATATATCTGGGCAAGACGGGAGGAGAACAGAATATTGCAGATGAAGCCAAATAGGGTTTGAGAGACAGACAGCATCTTTAAGGAAGGGAAAGGGTTATAAGAAATTTAATAGCCAAGAGGCCAGCAGAGATCAAACAATGAGATAATGAAACAGTGGAGGAAGCAGAATAGGGCTAATGCCACAAACCTTCTGCATGCTCTTGGTTCTCTGATGAGCAAAGATCCCCGAACTGTCCATTTTGCATACTGTGCTCACAGGTGGTGATGAGAAGGAAACACGATCTGTTGAGAAGTGCTCCCTTTCTACCTCCCCATTCCAGAATATGCAAAGCAGCCAGCTGGACCATTTCGACGGCAGCATCCCCCACCCCCAGCCCTGCCTTCGCTAGCAGGAGAAGCCCTGGTCTTGTGGGCCTGTGTGTGCTGAGGCCTTGGCCCACCTGCAGCTGTGTGTTGAGGTCTTCCCGCTGGGTGGCCAATGCCTCCTTCTCGTTCTGATGCTGCTGCAGCTCTGCCCCCAGCGCCGCCACCTGATCTCGCAGCAGATTCATCTCTTGGGTCTTAGACGTCTGGATCTACGGGGCAAGAACCCAAGGCAAGAGGGGAAGAAAGGGGCTTCAGAGAGAGCCGTCTGGAAAAATCAGAGCAGACTGAGCAAACCCTTAAGCCTGGCTTGGCATTTTGGGATCTAACAAACCGAGAAATCGCTTCAAAGAGCAGCCATGAGGGAGGGGAGCAGAACTGGGAAAACTTGCTTTTTTGGTTTATAAACCCTGGGATCTCCATCCCAAAAATGGGAACTGTGGTCCAGCATAAGAGATACAGCTCAAAAATGGTTGTTTTTACAAATTCTGGTCATGATCAATGAAAAGCCCATACTCTGAATGAAGTCTTCAGGTACCACTGGATGTTAACAATACCTTTGGTCCCACAAAGCCACAAGCTTTCCTTTACATGAATGAATGCTCTACTCCAGAACACAATAAAGAGACAGTAAAGATGTTTGATTTGCTCTGGCTTTTGATCATTTTGGTTCAGAATATTTGGAAATGATCCTTGCCTGGATTATAACTCTCACAAACATGGGGAGAGGGGGTGGATTTGAGGAGCTGTAGGTAAAAAAAAAGGTAACACAAGCAAGCTCTCCTGGGGCTAGGCTGGCTGAGGTGAGTCTCACCATTGTTATAGTTGTCAAAGTGGCAGCCGTGTTAGTCTGTACAAGCATTATAGGTGAAAACAAAATAAAAAATAAAATGTAAAAAAAAGACAAAAACATGGTTGCATATTAAAGACTAACTTATAAACATATATTTATATTTAATGTGAGCTTTTGTGAATTTTTGTCCACAAAAGCACAAACTAAAAATATTTGTAAGTTATGCTTTAGGGTGCCACCACGTTTTTCTTTTTTTTGAACTTTTTTTGTTTCATTTTCAACATTGTTACCGGTTCCTCACAGACCTATTATACTCAAAGGTTATTATGGAAAGACAGATCTATTTTTTGACTACAGTTTAAAGGAAAAGGAAAAAGAGAGCGAGAACAAACCAGGAAGGCCGAACTGATTCTTGGCATTGAGACGCAAGGGGTAAAACTGTAGTTTTAAGAAGCAAAACAGCTCCTGAACTCATTCTCAACAAAGAAGGAAGCACAGGCTCTTAATGTTCCCTTTGTGGATAACTTTGAAAAAAAAATACACCAAAAGGTGTGGAAATGAGATTCTCTTGTGACTACTATTTCAAAAGTAGGCTTAAGGGGGATAAAAATGCAGTTAATTTGCCTGCATCTGTGCTGCGCTACGAGAGAGCATTCTGCATTTCCCTTCCTATACTTTCCTAAAACAGTGACTGGAAATTTCTGGCCCTCCAGATGTTTCCAGAGTGCATTTCCTATCATCCCTGACATTGGATGTACATCAGTTAGGGCTGCCAGCCAAAAACCCTTGGAGGGCTACATTTGACCAACCTTGATTTAAGAAGTTTAGCTGTTCTTTGGAGAATCCAAGAGATGAGGAAGGGGTAATGCCTAAACTAGAGGTGGACACCTGGCAGCCCTCCAGATATTTCTTGGACTACAACTCCCAGTAGTCCCAGCCAGCATAGTTAATGGTGAGGAACGCTGGGAGCTGCAGGCCAACCAACCTCTGGAAGGCCACCCTTGGCTCACCTCTCGCCTCAAGGAAAGTCTCTGAGGCAACTCTTCATGTTATGTGGGAGAAGAGGGAGTAAAAAGCCCTTCACCGCCATCTTGGCTTGGGTGGGAGTTAATCAGAGCCAATACTCTTTCAGCCCCCGCTTAGCTGAAACTAACACATACACCACTTAATTAATGGCCACATAGGGCCTTAAACATCACCATTGCGGCTTCTGTCACTGTCACGCACACACTCCCCTCCACCATTTTCTTGGTTCTCAGATTCCACAGGGGAGCCTAGTACCTGTTCTAACGCGGCCAGATTGGTTCTCAGGGCATCATTTTCGGACAGAATGGTCTCAACCTGCTCCTGGCTCTCCGCACTTTGACAAGCAACCTGATGCCCCACGAAGGAGAGGGTGGGTGAAGAAAACGAAGGCGGAAGAGAGAGAAAGAGAGAGAGGACAAAGCAAAAGAAAAACAAGAGAGAAAAGATTAAAAATACCAGGCAGAACATGGAAGCAGCAGCAGCAGCAACTGTGCTAAACAGTTTTAACAAAACAAAACAAGACTTTATTTTGCCTAGAAACCAAATAAGAAAAACACGACATGAACTGCAATTTTTAAAAAGGAGACCAAACCAAATAAAATACATTTCGTATACATGATTAGTAAGACAAGACACGACCATTAAAGATTCAAAATAAACATAGAACACCTCTAGAAGTAAGGGAAGGCTGGCAAAACACATTTAAGAGGAAAGTATGGAAGCCTTTCTGGAGGCTAAGAGGCCTAAGGAAAGAAATGCGAAAGACAAACAAGAATGTAAAGGCTCTTTCCAGGAGGAGAAACCATGGAACGTTAGGATTCTCAAAGGCAGGAGGGCAGGATCCGGGGGTTGCGGGGGGGGGGGAGGTGGATGATCAGGGCTCCACTGAACATAACAAGTATGAGAGTTCCATAACATGGCCTGGCTTACAGAGCACATTTTAAAGTCAGTGAAGGAACAACATATTGCCATATAAAGGAGGAGACCACTGTACGAACCTTAAGCACACACATCTAATTCTTAGGGTTACCGCTGCCTGCAGGTTTTGCAGATAAACCATTGGGTCCAAGCAGGCCCTTACACATGCAGTTCCAGCCATGTTGCCCATGGAATTCTCCAACTCAAAACAGCAGAGAGTCTGGATAGTAAAAAATGGAACCTTTGTGGTCAGACGGAGCTCACTGCAAATAGCCTATAAAACTCCCTAGGAAGGGTGCTGCGCTTGGGACTTTGAGCTGCCCTCAGGGCTGGAACAGATTTGGAAAATACTAACATTCTAGCATTTTGCCTTTTCCCAATCAACAGAACAAATCCTCCTGCCTGCTCTATTCCACATGACTCCAAAAGAAGCCTTGACCTCCAGCCTCCTGGGATCAGAAGAGAGCTATGATTAGAGTAAGGCAACCATGGTGTTGACTCGGGAGTATTAAAATATAGAGGGTGCGACAATTTGCTGCCACTGATGGGCACAAACTGCTCTGTTGGCATTCACTACTTGAAAGGGTAGGACTTTGCACACCCCAAGCTCCCTGGGCAGAAACAAACGCAAAACAGACAGAACCTATATGACCACCTGGGAATCCAAGGCTGGGAATCCCTGGACTAGATGATTCTTGGGTTCCCATTCAATTCTACCACTTCAACACTTGGTTTTGTGTCGTTTGTGGTATCCTTTGTTTGCTGAAGCCCTTCTGAGGCAGTGCCGGGGGTTGCAGATTCATGGCGCTTCAAGAGAAATACCTAATTGCTCCTTGTTCTGTGGCTACTTTCTATTTGTGGAAGGCAACGGTTATGGAGAAGAGAGCTTCCTGTTTGCCTGCAGGCTCTGCATACGAGGAAGAACCCTGGGAATCCCTGGCCCTTGCTCATGTGGAAAGGCTACATCTGGCAGGAATGGGAACTTCTCCTCTCCAGGCATGCTGCTTCCCACACATAGAAAAGAATGACCAAGAGAGACTGGGCTGGGTCATCTTCTTGAAGTTTGGTGAGCCCACTCATGACGATAATGCTTCAGAAGAGCTGGCATAGCCCCCACTGGCCTGTACCTAGAAAGGATGCATGAAATTCCATGCAAAAAGGGAAACCCCTCTGGCAATCGTGACGCAGGCCCAAGTCAGAAAAAGTTTCAGAGTGGAGACTGGAGAACTCTGGTTACTTCAAGAGCTGCTGACTCACACAACGTTACTTCCACTCAAGGGAGATGGGAATGACTGCCACTACCAGGAACCAAATGCCAACCCCAGATCTGAGTTGAAGGTCTGTGCAAATTCCTACACTCTGAGAGAGCTGCAGAATACAGCTTCTTCCTAGCTTACGGTATGGTTAATGCCTTTTAGCGCACACAATGTTAAAAAGTCCTCTGTTCACTCCAAAGACTAGGGAAAACACATACATATCATGCTTGGTCTAAAAGTTACAGGAAAGAGGAAAGGAATAATTCTGGGTTTCACTGAGACACAAAAAAATGTTTGCAGTAAAGAGAGAGAAGTGATTGCACCATGAAAAAAAAACCCAAACAAATGGGACTTTTAAGAAAAAATAGATGTGAAACACATGTTGAAGGAGAACCTAGGTGCAGAAAAGAGGATGTGAAAATTCATCATTTAGTACAGGAAACCAGCCCTTCAGGGGGTTACAGATCAGTAACCAGAAACCACAGCATTGGAGACACAACCCCCTCACCCCAAACACATCATAACCAACTAACTAGCCCAATTAATACATTTTATTTACTTACTACGTTTTCTCCCACCTTTCCACTAACAGGCTAGCTTTCAAGCCAGCCAACAAGCACCATGAAAAACAAACTAAACAATAAAACCTATTTAAACCATCACAATATCCAAAAGAAAAATCTCAAAAGCATTCAAAATACCACTTTGCAGAATCTTCCTTAAAACAGTAAACGTGGAAACTGACTAATTCTCAAGGGAAGTGCATTCCACTATCTGGGCCAACTCAACTTTTTAAAATATGTTGATCCCTCACCTTTTAGGATAAGTCCTTATAAGGAGCACTCGAATGTATAAAAAACTCAGATCTGATAGCTGGAGTGGGTTGGGTGCCACTGGTACATCTCCACCAGCAGAGGGATGTGCCAACAAAGAGTAAGGGGGTTGCCATATTGGATGCCTCTTCTAAGCCTCCGCTTCTGGTGAAGAATCATAGCAGCGCCTTCAGATAAACACTGATCACAAGAGGACCTTCTAAACCAGGGGAAGGAAATTGTTTTGCCATACTACGGCTCTAGAAAGCAAACCCAAGGTAAGGGGAGAGAGAAGATGCTGCCCAGGAGTACATAGAGGGCTACGCGTTCCTCATCCTTGAACAAAAACAAAACCCAGTAGAGAAGAAAGTCTCCAGAAGGCACTTAAAAGGACTGGGAGAGACTGGCCTACTGTATTTCTTCAAGGAGAGAGCTCTGCAGTCTGCACACCAGTGCAAAAAGGGCTCCTTCTGAATATAAACGAATGCTGTTTCGGTACAAGCAAAGCACCCGTCGTGAGTTGTGTGCATGCACATGCTTTTCTAAGTCAGCTATCAAATACAATTATAACAACCTAGGATGAATGTTAGTGAGGAGGAAAGGCTGCTATCCACAGCCTAGGGGGAAGGGATGGTAAAAAAGAGGAAGGAGAAGTTATGATATGGAAAGAAAGGGAGGGAGGGAGGAAAATTGCAGTAAGAGATTGGGTATGGAAAGCTTGAGAACTAATGGCTGGTGCAGGATGGTAAGGTTGGACCTCTGTGTCCCAGGACAATGGACACCATGGTCATTCTAGGAGCTGAAGACCAGAAGATCTAGAGGCCCCCAAATTGCAATTCACAGCTTCATATGATCGTTCACTGATCTTAGTAACCTAAGACATTAATTAGGACTTTGGGTACACATGCAACTGTTCTGCTCCTTATTTTGCACCAGAACGGGGGGGGGGGGAGACCTTCTAAATAGTTTTACCTGTTCATTTGACCCTAACTCAGAAACTACACTTTGGAATAGACCAGGACAACAAACCATGGTCCTTCACTCAGGATGAAAGTAGAAATTAAAGTTAATTGAGGATTAATCCCTCTACATAATTCTGTCTCTCTTGGTGCTATATTTTGGTTTCTCTTCTTCGTTCTCTTTGGAGTCCACACAACCTTGACCACAAGGCTTTCAAACACAGAGATTGGTTCCTCCAGATGGACCCAGAATGAGAACAGGGTGGATATCTTACCATTACATTGTAGTCTGATAGAAAGCAGAATTTCTCAACTAAGGCACCATTTGCTTGTGGGCAGAGGGTGCGCCTGGGAGTTAGTGGGGTGTACTCACTTGGTCCTGTAGGGCCTGCAGGGCCACCTCATGCTCTTTCCGACGACTCTGCAGCTGGCCCTTTAAATCGGAGAAGCCCTGGGAAGGAAGGAACACATTCAGTCAGGGAACAGGATTCCGAGGGGAGACTTCACTCTAGCACCACCTTCCAACTAGGAGGGTGACATGTCTCCCACATGGAGGGAGAGAAGAACTATGCCAATAAGAATTGAATCTGCCTCATACTGCAGGAAGGCATACACCACATAGATGGCAGCTTCTACCTCTGAGGGGGGGAAAACACCCTATCATTTGGAACAGGTACTGGGCCCATCTGTGGTCCACTTAAAGGAAGTGGCACAGTTTTTCTCCAAATACTCTGGGAATGGTAGCTTTGTGAGAGGCCAAAAATTTCCTGGTGGAGAGCTGAAGCTCCCTCACATCATGTACACTTTTCAGTTCTCCTGGGAAATGTGTGTGCAAGTTAAGGTACAGCACAGTAGACAAACTTTTCCCCAGGCTAGGTCACCAATTCTTCTTGTTGTACAGAAAAGGAATGGGGCTGCAGACAGAAGAAGTGATCAACATATTTTATCAAGAGGCGATGGATGTTCCTGGACTGTGAGAATTGGGTCACGTCACATGTGCCCTGCACTACATGTGCCCAGCGAGGGGGCACCTGCAAGGCGACTCTTACCTGATTTGCCACCTGGAGCTCCTGCTGCAGCTTCTGGTTGCGCGTCTGTAGGGATTTGAGCTCCTCGTCCTTGCGCAGTTGAATCTCTTCAATTTTGGTCCTGAAATTTGGCAGAAGCGAGAGCTCACTTATAGACAGGGGAAGACAAAGGTGAGGGAGCCACACCCTCTCTTAAGTCACCCCTCTTGTTACATCCCTCCCCTGAATGACCAGAGTCGTCCTTCCAGGACCGAGGCAGGGGAGGATGGGCCCTCTGACACTGGACTTTACCCACCCCACGTCTATTATATGGTTTTGCTCACAGCTTGGAAACATCCATTTTTGAGAGACTACAACTCCCAAAATCCACACGGTGGCTGGAGAATTCAAAGAAGAACTGTAGTCTAAAAAACAAACAGTTCTAAAACATCTGCAAGGTCACCCATTGTCTGAACTCCACATCAGGCATAGCCATAAGTTAGCTTTTAGGATGAAGCTTCAGGCGCCCAGTGCCATACCTGCTATCATTGTAGAGAGCCTCTTTTTCTGTCTGAAGCCGCAGAAAGCTAATAGGAGGAAGGAAAAGATGGGAAAAGTGGTTGCGACCAAAAGCTAGATTCCACTCCCCAGCCCATGCACAGACTCTGCTTAAGCACCGTGACACACCCTTATAATTGCAGGAAAGAATATCAATTGACTCTTTAAAAGAAGGGTGCAAAATCTGTACATTGTGTCCCCTGCAATATCAACAGACTCAGAGCAAGTTAAAATGCCGAGTCAGGAACCAAAAAGCTTCCTGTGTAGTATGGTGGCTTGAAAACTGAATCAGAGCTTGAGACCGGATTTCAAACTCTCCCTCAAGCAACAAGAGCTGCCAGTGACTCGCTCACTCTCTAACAAACTCCTATGATTCTCATTGTGAAGATAAAACTGGGTAAGTGGGAAGAAAACCATTTATACCACTGGGAGTTCACTGGGAGAAAGACAGAATGTAACTAAAAATACTGGTATGTACAAACACCAACTTATTGACTCGCAGCACTTCACCACTGCAACTGAGCTATTGCACTTACACAAGTGTAAATGCAATAACCAACAGGATTGTGGCCATCAAATAATAAACCATTTGTTCTTACTATTTGCTACAATTATATTGGGGTTTTTTTCCTTCTGTGAGCTCAAGATAGTCAGTCGCACAATCAAGCACATATCTGACCTCCTGCTAATCAGCTGCAATTTGTCACCATGATTTACACACTGTCACCTACTCTGGAGTGAAGTCCCCCCAGGCTGCTTTTACCGTCACTCTACTATAACCTGCCTGTTTGTTAGAGGTACTTCACGGACTTAAAAAAAGAAAGAAAGAAAATCATCCACATCACATGGGCAAGTAACTTGCTTTTCACCAAATGCATGAAAGAAAAAAAGGGCCTGCCAGGTGGGGATATTCCACAAATATAAAGAAGAGACCCAACCTTCCCGGTAGGTCTCCCCACTGAGAGCACCAATACCCAGTGGGGAGAAGGGCCAGCCGGCCCAGGGGCACCCAGGTAGCTTGTAAGAAATGAATCCCACTCCCCGCCCCTAAAAGTGGAGTTCCCTTTTCTCTCTCTTTACTGACTCACCTTTCCTGCTTCTTCTTTAGCTTCTCTGCAAGCTGCACAGGAGAAAAGGGGTGGTGAGTTCTCGCCAGCAGTAACCATCACCCCTTAAAGCAGTCTCACCACCAACGCTTATGGGCCACCCTCCTCAGCCCAAGAATCGGGAGATACATGCAATCCGTTCCTCACCTTGCTGAGTTCTTGCTGCAAACGAGACATCTCCGTCGTCTTGGAGGCCTGCCAGAGGGGGAGGGGAGACAAACGAGAGCAGCTCAAAGGTTCATATTCTCTACCCTTTGAGTCCTTCTGGCAACATTTCCACCAGGTGGGGGTTGCTTAATTAGTCAAGTCTTCTAAGACCAGGGTTCTTACGCTCTGTCAATCCAGATGTTTTGGACTTCAACTCGCCGAAGCCCCAGCCAGCGTGGCCGATGCAGGGAAGTTGAAGTTCAAAACATGTGGACGACTTGACAGTGGACAAGCACGGCAACACACACCTCTCCAGCTACTCACTGCCCCTCTGGCTGGCAATCATTTTACTACGTAGTAATATTAACCAAGGAAAGCAGATTTTTTATCCACATTTTCCATAAACTTTACTCCAACTTCATAAAGCAAGGGAGTGGCTTTTTAAATTACCTCTGCATTATAGGTAGGAGTTAAGCTGAGAAAATTGCTGGCTTAAGATCACCCAAAAACTTCAGAGCTGAAGCTAGATTGGAAGCAAGAAGGGGTTTCTCAGTCTATTCTTTCCTCCTTAGTGGGGTGAGAAAACACCAACATATCTCCCCCACCCTGGCTGCTTTGCACTGGTTGCCCATCCGTTTCCGCGTTGACTTCAAAGTGCTAATGATC